CAGATATACTACAAACTTCAGATATACTCACGATGTCTCTGTCTCATCTAATTTTCCTCCGTACTACAGTCTTCAGATGTACTCACGATATACTCACTCAGATATACTGCAAACTTCAGATATACTCACGATGTCTCTATCTCATCTAATTTTCCTCCTTACTACAATCTTCAGATGTACTCACAATATACTCACTCAGATATACTGCAAACGTCAGATATACTCACAATGTCTCTGTCTCATCTAATTTTCCTCCGTACTACAATCTTCAGATGTACTCACGATATACTCACTCAGATATACTGCAAACTTCAGATATACTCACAATGTCTCTGTCTCATCTAATTTTCCTCCGTACTACAATCTTCAGATGTACTCACGATATACTCACTCAGATATACTGCAAACTTCAGATATACTCACAATGTATCTGTCTCATCTAATTTTCCTCCTTACTACAAACGTCAGATATACTCACGATGTCTCTGTCTCATCTAATTTTCCTCCGTACTACAATCTTCAGATGTACTCACGATATACTCACTCAGATATACTGCAAACTTCAGATATACTCACAATGTATCTGTCTCATCTAATTTTCCTCCTTACTACAAACGTCAGATATACTCACAATGTCTCTGTCTCATCTAATTTTCCTCCGTACTACAATCTTCAGATGTACTCACGATATACTCACTCAGATATACTGCAAACTTCAGATATACTCACAATGTCTCTGTCTCATCTAATTTTCCTCCTTACTACAAACGTCAGATATACTCACGATGTCTCTGTCTCATCTAATTTTCCTCCTTACTACAAACTTCAGATATACTCACAATGTTTCTGTCTCATCTAATTTTCCTCACTATAATCCCTGTCCCTTGGGAAGGTCACAGGATCCTGTGTGCATGTGTTAGGTCCCGTCATGAATTAATGACCTCCAAAAGGTTCTCACAACCTCGCTCAGGTCTTGCAGACGGAGGCCCATGGCTTCCTTGATGGAGCCCGTCCATCTCAGGTTGGGTCTTCCTCTTTTCTTGCCGCCGTCAATTTTTTTGTAGCATGATGGTCTTTTCCAGTGACTCTTCTCTTCTCAGAGTGCGACCCAAGTAGGATAGCCTCGGTTTAGTCATTTTAGCTTCTAGGGAGAGCTCAGCCTTGATTTGATCTAGAGCCTACTTATTTGTCTTTTTGGCGGTCTACCGGTATTCAGGAATCCACTTTCTTCCTATTGGCTTTCTTCATTAGAACCAAATTTGATTCCAGTGGCACCTTTAAAACCAACACTGGGTACCCAGGATTAAACTTTGGCCCCATTCATACGAGGGGTTTTGGTCCGGGAGCGAGACAGAATGGGGGCGGAGCAAACGAGCGCGATCCCACGGCAACATCTGGGAATCCTTGCCTGCCCGTCCCCGAGCCGTCTCTTCCGCGTGAAAACCCGCACTAAAAAGAACCACCTACCTGGGTGGTTCTTGCGAAGTAGAGTGCCTCAAACCGGCCATGGGATCAGCCGCGCGTCCTTGCGCCGGCACATCCCGGCCTCCGGCCGAACTGCGCATGCTTGAGCATGCGCAGTT